GCGGGCCCTGAGCCGTGGAGGTGGACCCCATTCCCCCGAGCAGCCATTGCCTGTCCCCTCTTCTCCTCGGTAACTCCCGGTTCATGTCACTGTGTGAGAAGGTCTCAGCCACCCAGCTGCCCACACCCGGTCCCCAAACCCAACCTCGGCCCTTCCCGAGCCCCGGCCCTGTATGTCCCTTCCTGTGACGGGCCTCTCCCAGAGCCCAGGGGTGTGTGGGGTTCTGGGGAACAGGGCCTGGGGTGCGTTGGAAGACACGCCTGATCCAGAAAGGCCCCCGGGGGCGTGTCTCGGGTCATCGTCAGCCTGATCCGAGCCAACCCGAGACACGTTTCTGGGGCCCTGGGGGGGTCACCCCGCTTGAGGCCGGGGTCTGGCGGACTGGCTGGACTTTGAAATGGATTCAGTCTTGGCCATAAACATTCAAGGGCACTGCGGCCAATAGACAGGCCCTTGAACCCCCAGCACGTGGACTAGCAGGGCGGTCCTGAGGGCCCCGGGCAACCTTGAGGCAACAATAAGAGGTGCGCCCGTCAGTTGGGGCGGGCGACATGCCCTCCACGGCCCAGGCACTGCCTGCGACTAGGAGACAAGGCATTCTAGAACCCGCCTCCTGCTCTTTGTGCCCCTGACTCACGGTGTGAGGGGCAGCGAGGGCGCTTACTTCCCAGCGCGGCTCTGTCGCTGGGCCGTTGAGTTGGCTCAAAGATCTCATCGTTAGCCTGGGTCTGCCCCTCAGGGGCTTTCTGACTCCTGATTTGTTCACCTACTTGCTCCTCTTCGTCTCCAAATTCAATAAGCTGTCCCGGCCTTGACCCCAGCGGTAAAGAAAACACCAGCTGGGCCGTGGACTCCCTCCCTCCCAGGTAAGGTCGGTTCAGCCAGTCTCTCATGACGGTGGAACAGCTCATCAGAAGGGCCTCTAGCCACTTCCGGACACGCCCCCAAACGTGCATGTCACACGTGGGGACCCAGTCCCGGTCCGTCCAGCCAGAAAAACGAGCACACGGGGGGGTTGAGAAGCCACCAGAAAGGTCACATAGAATGTTTATTACATAGAAAAGAGGGAAAGGAAGAAAAGGTTTCTAAAGTCGTATTTCCAGGATTTAAAAAAACACGGATTCGGAATGCCAAAGAATTGCCATGCTTGGTGTATTTATAATAGGAATATATAAATATGTACACGGAGCTATGTACACAGGTTTCTATCGTCATGCACGCGATCTTCCATTACGTGTACGGCAATGGCGTTTGGGCTATGACTTCAGAAGCTGGCGGGGCGCTGGGGAAGTCGGGGCCTGGCTCGGCGCCTTGAGGGGTGCAGGGCCCCGGGCAGCTGCGGGACGGCCTGCCAGGGCCTCCGTCCTGAGGACACGGGGAAGGCGACGTGCAGGCCTGGGCCCAGGCCGCAAGTCCGGAAGCTTCCCTAGGTCCCCAACCTTAGACTTTCTCCCTTTCGTGGAACCGAGGAAGGCTCCCGTCCGTGGAATGGGCTGGAAAACCCGGTCGGCAGGCTGGGATCCCAGGGGAAATTGCTGTGGGGGGCGAGGGGGCGGGGGGTGAAGCCGCTGTGGGTCTGGGCAGAAGTAGAACGAAAAAGCCCCGGGACACGGGGCAGTGGGCGTTGCCAGAGGATAACAGAAATGTACAGAGATTCGCTTCACAGGAGGGAGAGACCCAAACAGTCAATCACATATCAAAAACCACAAAGCTGCACACAACACTCATCCAGATATAAACTCGGCGAATACGCACAGAACCAGGCTTGTTTTAAGTATGTTGTTTTAAAAAATTTGGCACCAGGTACAACGGCCTGTCACTCGGCCTGGGCAAAGGGCTGGCCAAGTGCTCCCACGGAGTAACCAGGCCAGTTACGGCCACCATTGCCCGCTCCCCGGTGGCGGTGACCCAGAAACGCGTCCCTCCCACACGCCAGACTCGGGGGACGACACGGGGGGGCTTGGGGGGGCACCGAGCCGTGGGGCCCCGGGTGGCGGTGGGGGAGAGCTCCGAGCCCAGGGCCCTGCAGATGGAGGGAGCTGTGCGTGTCAGGGCCCTGGGTGGTGTCCCCTGCCGGAGCCAGGCTGGAGGGCTGGTGTGAGGAGTCCCCATGCAGATGTTAACGCCCCGGCCTGAGGGCCCACACAGTCCTGTCCTCACCCCGCAGCCAAGGGGGCTGTGAGCATGTGTGGGAAGCAGGATGTGCACATGCCTGTGTCTCTCCTCCACCCCTGCAACAGCGGCCCGGGCTGGATTGTGGGTGGCTGGCATTTTGGCAAATCCAGGCAGGAAGGGGGAGGGGCTGGGGACTAAATCCAAGGAGAGAGACGACTCGTACTGGGAGCTCAGGACACGTACACGTGTGACCCGGTCCTCCGCCTGCCACCGTGACAGGGTCGCCAGGGGATGGCAGGACCGAGGGTCACCCGGGCTGGGCTCGTCTGCCAACCCCTCGTCTTGGACAGAAAAGGGAACGGCGCTGGCTGCCTAACCCCTCCTTGTCTCCAACATACAGATGGTCAAACTGAGGCACGAGCCGGGAGGAAGCTGGAAGTCGCCCTGAAGGCGCCGCACACATCAGCACAGGGAGGGTCCTGGGTGGCTTGCACGCCTATGATCCCGTGAGCGTTCCAAGCTCTAGGAGCTCAACAGGTGAAGAATGTGATCGCCCACTGCTCAGGCCGCTCCCAGCCTCCCTTCCCACGGCCCGGCTTCCTCGCCTCCCCGACACACACGGCGCCCTCCGCGGGGAGACGCCCCCCTCCTGCCTCCACCCACCTTGCTGTTCCCCTCATGAGAGTGGAAGGGCAGGGCGAGGCGGCCAGGGTGCCGCTCACTGGGAGACCCCGTCAGTCCACGCCAGCGTCCACTGAGGGCTGACTGGACACACAAATGCAGAACAGGGAACCCCGCCTTCCAGAACCGCCTGCCGCCAGCACAGGGGGACCATTGAGAAGAAGGAACCCCAGCTCTGCTCGGCACCAGGCAGGATCATGGGGCGCGCGGGGCGGCCAATGGTCGGCAGCAGCTCCAGACGGCTCCCCAACGTGCAAGGTCACGGTCTCCGGGGAGGGTCCGCCAGTCCCTCGGTGGAAAGCCCTCTGAAGGCACCAGCAAGCGGGAGTCAACAGTACAAGGTCCCGGCCGCCACCTGCGCAGCTTAGGTTTGAATTCTACTTCCCTACGCAGATCCCACCAACAGGGTGCAAACAGCGAGCGTTGTGGGAGCCGGAGGGGTTCTGGGCAGATCTAGGCAACACCCGCGTAACCCTTGCAAACTCACCCCTCTGGGCAGGGATGGGGGTTCGTGGAAGAAAGCATTGGAGACTTATTTTTGCATTTTTAAGAGCTAAGCTGTTGCAGAAGGAAGACTTCCCCCTTGAGAGCCCCAGGCCTTCGGGGGGTGGGGGGTGATCTCTCTCTCTCTCTCTCTCTCCCGGTTCTCTGGGTCCTGGGGACTCAGCCCCGTCTTGTGCCAGCCTCAGTACTCGGTGTGGGGATTTTCCTTCTGATGTCTGGGTCCCTGTTCTTCCCAGGGAAATGGTGACCACGTGGCTTCCTCCACGTGCCCTGCTCTACTTTCTTACGGCGTCCCTGTGAGGCCGAAGTCACGGCCATGCCTGTGGGGTGTGGCGGGTCAGAGTGCCCGGAGCCCCTGGGGGGGGACAGCGGGGACCTGGCCCTCCGTGATAGGACCTGGCAGATTCCCGCACAGTCGTCGGCGGGGCTGACACGCGGCTCTGGGGCGGCGCGGGGAAGGCATCTTGCTCCCCGTCCCTTTATGTGCCCCCTCAAGTGCAGCCAGGGCAGGGGGCGGCTGGAGCGTGTCAGCCCTGCCCTGCAGCGGCCGGAGGGGTGCAGGGACTGGGGCCCGACACCCCCTTGCCCCTCCTGCTCCCACGGGGCCCGGGCCTCCCAGCCTGAGGTCCTCGGCTCTAACACAGACTCGGAGCCCAACAGTCTCCATCACGCACAGGACACTACGGGCACCGGCGGCTCCTTCACGCCCCGGGAACTGCTGCTCCGGCCCGAGGCCACCGCGAGGCCCCGGGTATGTCTCTGCGCGCCTGTGACCCCTGCCCGACACCATGGCTGGGGGGCGTCCCACAGAAGCGTGAGCCCAGGACCCCTGGGCCTAGCCCAGCGCCGTGGCGCCTGCTCACGGGAACCCTACTTTCCAGCTCGCTGCTCTGTAACAAAGCAGCTGAACTTCCAACGGCCCGAGCGACCTCAGACCCCTTGGAGGACACTGGCCACTGTCCCCCCTCTGAAGACAGTAACACTCAGGCCACAGTGAGCTGCTCCCTGGTGAGGCGATCTTCACAGACTCTCCAGTTTGGAAGCAGTTGGCCAAGGAGGGGTGCCTGGGGGGGTGGTGCCCAGGGGAACGGCCTTCTGAGCCCATCAAGCCCTGGATTAGCCCCCTCCAGGGCTCAGGGTGACACCTGTCACTCAGGAAAACCCCGCCTGTGTCTGGACCACCACCAAGCATCCCACACAGACTGCTCTCTCCTCTCCGCCCCTCAGCAGCCCGAAGACAAGGCACTGGGCTCCCACGCGTGGGGCCACGCTCAGCCGGAGCGCTGTCCCTTCTCTGCCGCGGCCTCCTGGGGGGCAGCCGGCAGCGACCTGCTCTCTTCCTGGCCCAGATGACACCGTCTTCACACACCGAAAGGTTCTCACGCCTTGAAAACACACAGATCGCAAACACGGAGTGGCAGCAGAGGCTGGTGGGGCTGGGAGGGAGAGGACAGGCAGACAGACACCGCCAGGGGCTCAGAAAGTGCAGGGGGCCCAGGCGGCCACAGGGGAGGGCGGGGAGCTGGTCAAAGCCAAGTGGCAGGCAGCGGGGCATGATCGGCCCGGGGCCAGAGAGCCCGCCTCCGAGTGGGGGCCCGGGGAGCTAGGGAGGGGCTGCGGGAGGTTCGGTTTCTCTATGGGGGCCGGGAGCGGCCCACTCCCCGGCGAGCCCCAGGCCCGCAAACAGCTTGGGGCCAGACCCACAATGTCACGATTCCCGGGGGATGAAAACAGACACGCGGCAGTTCACCTGATCCCGTGACCTCGGATCTCCTTTCTCTTAACCTCCGATCAACACTCGACCCGCGGTGGCCTGAACAACTTCCGTGAGCTCCTGCCCGCCCACCCCCCACAGGTCCCTGACGGTCACACAGGCACCGCAAAGGCCCCACTGTCCCTTTGCAGGGGGAGGAATTTCTGTCGCAACAGCCATGTCCCCCGTGCCTTGTGTGCACAGGGGTTTTCAGAGAGAAGTGCACGACTCCTGCGGTTTTCTTTTTTTGCCGCCCTCTGTCCCCAAATGCCCCTGAACGGCGAGTTTTCCTCCGTGACTTACTGAGGCCCAAGTCAGACCTGCACCGAGTACGGGGAGGCTACCTGTTGGTCAGACTGTTCACGTGTCTGCGCAGCAGCCCTGCGCTGGGTGGCGGGGAGCCGCTCCGGGCAGTGAAGTTCCCTCGTTCTGTGTCAGATCCAGGTTTTCTGAGTCCTGAGACCCGTCCAGCCCCGAGGATTTCCGAAGGGCCAGAAAGGGCATTAGGAAGGACGAGAATGCTTCCGGCCGGCTCGCACGCACGTCTGCGCGGGGCCTCTGTGGATGGACACCGGCCACGCTAGCAGATGTGCGGGGGGATGGGGTCACTGGCCTCCTTCCAGGGAAACAGAGGTCAAAACACACCCAGGCCCGGAGATTTCAAGGGCAAGGAAGGGGGTGGGCTGCAGTTAAGGGCAGGCAGGGCCAGGAGACACTGCAGGCCTGTCCACGTCGGGCTGGGATGTGCGTCCTCACCCTCACCCCTGCTGTGCCCCCTTCCCCCCCACCAGGACCACAGCGCGGACGCCCAGACAGGGGCTGGGGACCCAGGGGAAGTGTGTGCCACGTCCTGGCCCTCGCTGAGCCCTGCGGCCCTGGCCCTTGCTGGGGGCGAAGAGCCGTGCGAGGCAGGGGTGAGCCCAGCATGCCAGCCTCGCTGTCGGCAATCCGGACCTCATCCCTACCCCACTTGAGATGCTTGTTTTCCTGGAGCAGGGGAAGGGGCGGCAGCCTCACCGCCGGCCAAGAAGAGCAGATGTGTTTTCAAAAGAAAAAAATTTTTTTAAATCGCCCCCGCTTGGCGCTGCAAACCCAGGAAAGAGCAGAAGAGAATGTGAAGGGTCCCTGTGCTCGCCGCTGCCTCTGCGGCCCTCGCGGACCACCCTGGAGTTCCTGGTGGCTCCTTGGGGCTCACAGCTGCTGTGGGATGCCCTGTTCCTTGTAGCCTGTGAGGAAGAAGCAGAAGAGAGACGGTGAGATGTTAGCTGCCTTCAGGATTTCTGGAATACGTTCGTGAGGCCTTATTCTCACTGAGGTAGAAACGACTGCTATGCTCGGGGCTGGGGGGGGCGGGGTTCCAACTTTTCCCAGGGCATGCGCTTTTTAATGGGAAACAAAAGGAAGGATGGAGAGCCCAGGAAATTTGGGTTTAGTGGGGGTATGGGAGCGGAGGGTGTCTGGGTGGGGGCGGCAAGGTACCCAACGTCCCCGAAAGCCACTGCACAAAAGATGGCCTGGTGTGACTTCCGAGGCAGAGCCGTGGGAGGAAGTGCCAGTGCGACGCACACCTGGGAACGTGTGGATGGATGGGACAGAAAGCAACAGGGAAGACGGGACACAGAAGACCGTCACCGCATGTGTGAGCTCAAGCAGCCGGATGTCTGAGGCACAGACAGGGGGACGGCGTGGGGTGGGGGGTGCTCTGAGCCTTTAAAACCCTGTTGATCATTTTGAGGCCATTGGGAAAATCCAGCCACTGGAATTTGCTGTGAGCTGGTCACTCAGCCCTAGAGGGAGCTTCTATGGACTTAACTGCTTTTTTTCTCAAGTTCCCAAATTATTCACTGATTTTGAGTCCTAATTATGGAGGGCGAGGGGAGCCGGTGTGGGCATCGTGGGTCTCGGTACACCAGGCCCTCGATATTTGTCTATGTTTCAACATTTTCCAAAGCAGAAAGCTAAGACTCCAAACAAAAAGAAAACCAAAGCAAACCCCAGAATACACAAAAAATGCAAAAATAAGTACAAATAGATTTAAAAAAAAAAAAAAGAAAACCTGATGGCCAGGTTGCAGGGGAGGGGCAGGGAGCGTCTGTGTTGGGGGGCGGTGAGCGCGGTGGCGGGCGCCCATCAGCAGACTCACCTTGAGAAACTTGGGGGCAACACAGGGATGTGAGGCCACAGGAGGGAGCGGAGAGAAAGAGAGAGAGAAAACAGGGTAAAAATGGAGGCCGCGGGGACTGGCTGAAGTATAAGGAGGAGCAGATGTGGAAGGGCTGTGCCTGGGTCCAGGGACCAGCAGATGTGTGCTGGGCTGCAGGGGCTCATGGGAGACTCCCAGGGGGCCCACCCGCAGCCCCCCAGCTCAGCCAAGCCCACTCCTCCCTCCAGGACCACCCCTTACCCCCTCACTCTTTCCAGACTAAAGATTGGGAAGTGACCCATCCCAGTCCCAGCCAGGCTCTGCCTGAGCCGTGCGGTCATCCTTTGTGGGGACAGGAGCCACATACAGAAAGCCTGGTGCCTGGGGAAAGCCCGAGGCAGGGCAACGGCCAACAGACTGTTCTGGAGACATTCCAGATCAGCCGGCCACGTGGCTGCGGCGGTCCAAAGCCGAGGATCGAGGACATGTGACACTCGTCGGCAGGAAGCGTCCTGAATCCGATTCGCACGGGTACCGTGGCAGAGAGAGAGTGGCGGAGAACCGCCGAGGATCTGTGGGTCCGTGACCCCGACAGGCTGTCGTGGGCTGCTCTTCATTGTGATTCACATCAGCAGAGCCACGCTCCTAAGTCTTTGGTTTTAACTTCTGCTTAGATCTGGGTTTGGCCTGATGCTCCTCTTAGCGGCGTTTGCTGGTGGTGCACTCGATGACGGCACCGTGGACAGGGCCGCGTGAAGGGCACCCTGTTCTGCTCCACAGAGACATCCCCTTCTTTTTTGCGGGAAGGGGCGGGATGACACCGGAAAGTACAGCCCCCACGCACCTGTCGGCCGGGCAGACAAGTTGACGGTGGTCCTCCCTTCAAAGTCTCCATCCTGGGGTACACACACGCCCCCCCCCCAGCCCACATCTCAAGAGTGGCAACCACGTGTCCTTCCAGAGCGGGTTTACTTCCTGGGACAGGCGGAAGGCACCTGCTGAGGCGGGTGGCTGAGGCGGGCGGGTTAGCAGGCAGGGGTGAGGCGGGGCGGGTTTTCTCCTGCAGCCGAGTCTAAAGAGTTGAACGCAAAAAGAGCATCCCAGAGCCGGCGTGGGGACATCCACGCTGCGAAGGCCTAGGGCGGGGTGGGAATGGGCTTCTCCCACTGCTATGCCGTGAGAGCCGCCGGCCCGGCCATGGGACGGGGGTTTCCGGCTAAGACCACAGTCTGGGGTGATGGAAAGAGAGGATGTGCCCAGGTCCCCCTGACGCCATTTTACTTCTCAGGGTCCATGCTTCCTCATCAAGGACATGATCTGGGGGACCCTTTTGAGTACGTCTAAGATATAGACCTTGGGGTTCCTGGGTTTTAAAGGTGACTAAGATAAAAATAACCCGAAAGCTCTAGGGATTAGGCACCAACTCACTTGAGACGGGCCGGTGACATGACTCGTTCCACTTCAGCAGAAAGTTTCCTTCCTAAATGCCCAAGTGCCCGGGTAGACATCGGGGTGATGGCGAAGGAGGCAGTCAAAGGGGTCAGGCTTTGCCACTGAGGCTGAGGACAGTGCCACCCGTGAGTGGCTTTGTTGTGTGGGGGACACAGGAGGAGCCTGGGGTGCGAGGAGAAGGGCAAAGCGGCGCCTGAGGAGACGCAGTCCTTGATCTCGAGAATCCGCGGCCCAGCAAAGGGGACAGAACGGGCGGAAACACAGCGAACACGCATGGGGGCCCCTGGAGGCGTGTGTGGCTGCTTTAAGGCACATGCGGTGTTTGTTCTGGGGTCTTGCTAGGTGATTATTTATATTGTTTAATCCTTTAGCTTTTTGGTGCGATGGAATTTCAGATTTTTGAAAATTTGCAAAAATAGTACAAAAACATTCCTATGGTTTTCCTGAGCCACGTTTTCCCAATGTTAGCCTCATTCATAACCGCAGGGCAGTTATCAGGGCAGTAGTATGCAACCCGAGGAATTTGTTCAGTTTTCACGAACTGGTCTCCTCATGCCCTTTGGTGACCCAAGGACCCAACGCGGAGGCATGGATTGCATGGAGTGGCTACTTCTCTTTAGCCTAACGCGTCCGATCTGGAAGTTCTTCAGTCTGTCTTCCGGAGCCGAAATCAAGAGGCTCAAGGGACTGAGCCACTCGGGCACTCGGAGAACAGCTCATTTTAAATTAAAAAGTGTAAAAGACAGTTCCCCTCTTGCACACATTACAAGTAAATCGGCTTTATGTCAACTCTGCTCCAAAGGGCAATGGCCGAAGTTACGGCCAAGGAAGCTAAATGGAAGCACAGACTCAGATTTTAAGGGCTGCCTTTTCTCGTTTCAAGGTCAACAACAGCCATTCCCCCAAGTGGTGACCCAGTACATGGACGGAGGACGATGCCCTTCTCTCACTGGGGGTTTTTGTCACCAGAAAGCGCTTATTGAGTATCTAGTTGCAAAAGGTGATTTCAACTACGTTCTACAAAGGGAAAAAACGTAATCACGACATCCAAAGGAGATCCTGAAAGTAATTAAAACTCCATATATTTCTAGACATGGAAATGCAAAAAAAAAAAAGCAAAATTTAAAAATGAATGATATTCATAAAATAATCCAAATTTCAAAAACTGCATAAGCATACGTTTGAACATATTTCATAAGGGCTCTGGAAAGATGAGCCAAATGTTGCCAGTGGTGGCTTTGGAATATCTTTAAATATTTCCTTACTCGTGCTATTTTTTTCACTTTTCTTTATTTTCTGCGGTTCCTTTTTTTTTTTTTTACAATAATGAGGCAGTGGTTTCATGTTTAGAGAACATTAATCCATTTTCATTTTCCTGAAAAAATTTCCCCTGAGGATGTTTTGGAGTTTTGAGGAATATTAGTTACTAAGATTACTAACACCCTTCCACATAAAACTTTTTTAAAAACTACCATGGACATCTTTGCAACAAAGTCACAAATATGAGGAGGTTTCTTTGTGTTCCTACCTTTGTGTGTGTGTGTGTGTGTGTGTGTGTGTGTTCCTACCTTGAGGGGATATTTATAAAACCATCGGAGGTACTCCAAAGCTTTCTTAAATGAAACAAAATGGCTCCCTCCACATCTCGACCCCACGTGAAATTTCAGTAGACCTTTTTCTGCTCTGTCCAAACTACCACAGGAAAAGCCTAGAGCTTACATCACATCGTGCTGTTCTGCACTCATGAGAATTCCTTAATGCACCGAGAGACGTTGGCCTCAAAGAGATCTCTCCTCTACCAGGCCAAAACTGTATGATTAGAAAGTTCAGGAAAAATCTTCAGAAGAGCAGATGTTGGGTGTTACCGCCTCACCCTTCAGTCAATTTTTGGCAAGTAGTTTTTGTGGTTTCTTTAAAAGTTGTTTTGGAAGATCTCTTTTTATTGTTGTGAGTGGTTTTAGTTCTTTGTGTATGTGGGAGGGGTTATCACTTATTTACTTATTTATTTTTCAAATACATATTTTTATTATTATTTATTTTTCAAATAAATATTTTTCAAAATATATATTTTTTCAGGAATAGAACTTAGTGATTCGGGGTGCCTGGGTGGCTTAGTCGGTTAAGCGTCCGACTTTCGCTTAGGTCATGATCTCGCGGTTTGTGGGTTCGAGCCCCGCATCGGGCTCTGTGCTGACTGCCAGCTCAGAGCCTGGAGCCTGTTTCAGAGTCTGTGACTCCCTCTCTCTCTGACCCTCCTCTGCTCATGCTGTCTCTCTCTCTCTCCTAGAAATAAAAGTATTTAAAAAAAAAAAAAAAAAAGAACTTAGTGATTCATCACTTACATATAACACCCAGTGCTCATCCCAACCAGTGTCCTTCTTCGTACCTATCACCCCTTCCCTCAACCCAATGCCCCACCAGCAACCCTCAGTTTGTTCTCTGTATTTAAGAGTCTCTTATGGCTTCTTTCCTTCTCTGTTTTTATATTATTTTTGCTTTCCTTTCCCTTATGTTCATCTGTTTTGTATCTTAAATTCCACACATGAGTGGAATCATATTTTGTTTCTCTGACTTATTTCGCTTAGCATTATACAACCTAGCTCCATCTATGTTGTTGCAAATGGCAAGATTTAATTCTTTTTTTTTTTAAATATTTTTTATTTATTTCTAGGAGAGAGAGAGAGACAGTGTGAGCAGGGGAGGGTCAGAGAGAGAGGGAGTCACAAACTGAAACAGGCTCCAGGCTCCGAGCTGGCAGTCAGCACAGAGCCCGACGCGGGGCTCGAACCCATGAACCGCGAGATCATGACCCAAGCGAAAGTCGGACGCTCAACCGACTAAGCCACCCAGGCGCCCCAAGATTTAATTCTTTTTGGATCGCCAAGTAATACTCCATTGTATATATACCACATGTTATTTATCCATTCCTCTGTTGATGGACATTTGGGCTCTTTCCATACTTTAGCTCTTGTCGATAGTGCTGCTATAAACATTGGGGTGCGTTTGCCCCTTTGAATCAGCATTTCTCTATCCTTTGGATAAACACCTAGTAGTACATTTGCTGGGTTGTGGGGTAGTTCTAGATTTTTAATTTTTGAGGAACCTCCATACTGTTTTCCATAGTGACTGCATCAGTTTGCATTCCCACCAACAGTGCACGAGGGTCCCCCTTTCTCCACATCCTCGCCACCACCTGTTGTTGCCTGAATTGTTCATTCTAGCCATTCTGATAGGTTTTAGGTGGTGTCTCATTGTGGTTTTGGTTTGTATTTCCCTGATGTTGAGTGATGTTGAGCATTTTTTTCATGTGTCTGTTAGCCATCTGGATGTCTTCTTTGGAAAACTGTCTATTCATGTCTTTCACCCATTTCTTCACTGGATTATTTGGTTTTTAGGTGTTGAGTTAGATAAGTTCTGTATAGATTTTGGATACTAACCCTTTATCTGATAAGTTGCTTGCAAATATCTTCTCCCATTCCACTGGTTGCCTTTTAGTTTTGCTGATTGTTTCCTTCACTATGCAGAAGCTTTTTATGTTGATGAGGTCCCAATAGTTCATTTTTGCTTTTGTTTCCCTTGCCTCTGGAGACATGTCAAGTAAGACGTTGCTGTGGTCAAGGTCAAAGAGATTGTTGCCTGCTTTCTCCTCTAGGATTTTGATGGCTTCCTGTCTTACATTTAGGTCTCTCATCCAGTCTGAATTGATTTTTGTGTATGGTGTAAGAAAGTGGTCCAGGTTCATTTTTCTGCATGTGGCTGTCCAGTTTTCCCAGCACCACTTGCTGAAGAGACTGTCTTTATTCCATTGGATAGTCTTTGCTGCTTTGTCAAAGATTAGTTGGCCATATGTTTGTGGGTCCATTTCTGGGTTCTCTGTTCTGTTCCACTGATCTGTCTGGTTTTGTGCCAGTGCCATACTGTCTTGATGATTACAGCTTTGTAATACAGCTTGAAGTCCAGGATTGTGATGCCTCCTGCTTCAGTTTTCTTTTTCAAGATTGCTTTGGCTATTCAGGGTCTTTTCTGGTTCCATACACATTTTAGGACTGTTTGTTCTAGCTCTGTGAACAATGCTGGTGTTATTTTGATAAGGATTGCATCGAATGTACAGATCGTTTTGGGTAGTGTTGACATTTTAACAGTATTTGTTCTTCCAATCCATGAACATGGAATGCTTTTCCATCTTTTTGTGTGTGTCGTCTTCAATTTCTTTCATAAGCTTTCTATAGTTTCCGGTGTGTAGATTTTTCACCTCTTTGATTAGGTTTATCCCTAGGTATATCGCTAGGTTATTTTTTAAATGTTAATCAAGCCACTTTCGGTAAGCTTGACTCAGGAACATTAAGCACTTGCACAAAACAGTGTTGTGTCTGAATCAAGTTTGTGCCAAATGGTGGGCAAGGATTCACACAACACAATGAACGAAGTTTAGATCCAAAGAAGGGAGAAAAATCATGCTGCCTGGCTGTAAAACAAAACACATGCCGCAGCTACAGGGCTTCCCATGGGGAGAGATGCCAAGCAGGCCTTCCTTCTTTCTGGAAACTGCTGGATGGAGACAGGGGATGCCAGGCACAGCGGACCTCAGCTGGTGAGGGCCACGCCCTGGCTACTCAGGGTCGTCAGGGACAGTTTCCCTGATAAAGGGGATGCCCGATGCGTCTGAGCTGAACAGAAGCTCCGTTGTTCTTGTTCACACCCTCCAGCTCTGGTCTTTGCCTGTCTGCACTCAGGATTCCCTGCAGGCGTTGGGCCAGGCACGTGGGGAGGGTCCCCGTGTGCCCGGTGGCCAGTGACGGGGACACAGGTGAGCCCTCTCGAGCACCAGGCTCCGGGGAGGGGCAGACCTGCCTGCTGAGCGTCCCTGCCCCACGGGATCACAATTGCCAAGACCATTTGACTCTCGCCCCCTCCTCCAAATCCCAGCCCAGCCCCCTCCCCCCCCCCCCCCCCGCAGAAAGCGTGGCGTTGATGGCTACTCACTGGCGAGGATGACCATGTCCATGCCCCAGAAGATGCTCATGATCCAGCCCACCATGACAATGGCCGTGAGGGTCTGGATGAGGGCCGCTGCGATGTTCAGCCAGAAGACACAGCACACGTGCCTGTCCGGGAGGTCAGTACGCGCTCCACACAGCACGGCGAAGGCTGAGATGAACGTCCCTGTGAGAGGCCAGAGGGGACAGCTTTCTGAGGGTGCCAGGGGACATGGTAGCTGGTGTGCTTGTGGCCGGCCCGGGGCCCAGCGCCCCCCCACCCCCTGTGTGCAGTCCTGGGGCCATGACAAACCACCCCGCCACTACGCAGGTACGTGCGCCATCGGCAGGGTCAGCGGGCAGTGGTGGAGAAAACACCAACCGTGTGTGGTGAAGCTGTAAGACCTAACAGATCTCACGGGGGCGGGGGGGAGGAGAACATGGAAGCCACCCAAGGAGGTACATTCAGGAGTGAACCCCCGCACATGTGCCAACTGCTGAGGGACGGGAGCTGAGGCCCCAGGTGCCTGCAGGGTGGAGAGAGTGCACGCCAGGGCCCACCTTTTAGAGCCCCTTCCCCGACAGGGTTCCCCTGGGCACCCCAGACCTGTGAGTGGGGGAGGGAACAGGAAGCCTGAGATGTACTGAACTTCCACAAGGCACAGGGCAACGTTGTGTGCATGTCCAGGTCCCTTAGCGGGTGCGACTTCCCAGATCCCTAAGGGAAATGTCGCGATGAGGATGATGTTTGCCTGGAGTGAGGCTGTCTTTCTACTGGGCCCTGAGTCTCACGGTGGCCCTAAGGACAGCTGGCCACCCCCCGTCTCCATCAGCCACCCATCACGGCGGCCCCACGGGACAGCTGGCCGTCCCCTGTCTCCATCAGCCACCTGTCACGGCGGCCCCACGGGACAGCTGGGACAAGTCACCACCACCTCCGGGCCTTCGAGCAGCACAGGTACGTCCTCTTACGGTTCGGGAGGTGGGAACGTCCTCAGGGCTGGGTCCTTCTGGGGACTCTGCCGCGTTTAGGGGGTCCCGGGCCCTCCTGCACCACCCAGCAAGCACCCAATCTCTCCCCTGCGACCTCTGTTCCCACCCCTTCACCTGGCTCCCTGACCCTCACCCTCCCGCCTCCCTTTCGTAAAGACCCTGTGATGACACTGACCATCCAGGGACCCCCCCCCCACCCCATCGCAGGTCCTTCCCGTAGTCACGTCCGCAGAGCCGCCCATACCGCGTGAGGGAACACGTTCCCCGGTTCTGGGGGGCAGGGCGTGCAGGGCGTTATTCCGCCTCCCGCACTAAGCAGTGTGGTTACCAGGTGTGCTCGAGCTTCGACACCTGCCGCCCCCGAGAGACTGCCCACCCCACCCCCCGCCCCAGGGCCAGCTCATTCCTGGGCTAGTGATGGACGTTCACCTGCAAACCAGCCAGCCCACAGCCCACATGCCAACCCCTCCCTCACGGGCTCTCACGTCCCCGGCCAGTAGCCCAGTAGCCCCGCCGGGTCGCTCTGCCGATACCCCAGGGCCAGCCCTAGGCCTGCTCACCCTGCCCCGCCCCTTCCCTGGAAACCCCAATCAAGGCCCACATTTGGCCATGAACTCCGCCTCTTGACCATCTCTGGTGCCTCCGCATATGGACTCCCCGCAGCACTGCGTGTCCCCTCCCCCAGGGATTGTGACAAGCCATCGCTCCAATGGCTGCCATTTCCTGATCTGGTGGCCTCATCTAAACAATAACAAAACTTACATTTTACTTATATACCTGAGGAGAGACGAGCAGTGAGAGAGAGAGAGAGAAGATCATAAGCAGGCCTCAAAGTGGGGCTCAATCCCATGACCCCGGGATTATGACCAGAGACAAAATCCAGAGTTGGACACTCAACTGACTGAGCCACCAGGCACCCCTAAAACCTACATTTTAAAGTGCACCTGAAGGGGCACCTGGGTGGCTCAGTCCATTAAGTGTCCAACTTTGGCTCAGGTCATGATCTCACAGTTCATGGGTTTGAGCCCCGAGTTGGACTCTGTGCTGACAGCTCAGAGCCTGAAGCCTGCTTCAGATTCTGTGTCTCCCTCTCTCTCTCTGCCCCTCCCCTGCTCATGCTCTGTCTCTTTCTCTCTAAAATAAAAATAAACATTAAAAAATTTTTTTAATAAATAAAAAATAAAGTGCATCTTTGAAAAAAAAAAACCACCTTGGTGGCTCTTGGTATTGGCTCAGGTCACGATCTCACAGTTTGTGAGTTCAAGCCCTGAGTCAGGCTTTGCGCTGACAGCTCAGAGGGTGCTTAAGACCCTCTCTCTCTCTGCCCCTCTTCTGCACTTTCTCACTCACTCACTCTCGCCCTCTCTCTCAAAATAAATAAATAAACTTAAAAATATAATAAAGAGGATCCACACACCCTTGGGACCCAAGTATCCTGCTCAAGGCCACAGCACCAGCAGGCGCTGACCGTGCTACCATCTGATGCCAGTGCCGTGTCCCTGCTGAGCCCCCCGCCTCGAAGCCGGGGGTGACCTGCGGGTCATTCGGGAAACAAGCCAAGAGACCAGTGAGCTCCTTCACCCGCCTCCTCCTCACGGTCCCTGCTCCTCGGAAAGCTGCCCAGGGGTCCGTTCTCCTCCCCCTCTGCACTCTGGCTTCTGACCCGTCCCTGCCCGACCTCGGTGGCCCCCACTGGCTTCCCGAGGTGGCCTTTCCCACCACCCAGCCCCTGGTGCCTCAGATGTAAGGCTAACCCCTGGGGCCACGTGCTGATTCCTGATCCCCACCCTGTCCACCCCCCTCCTCGTAACGACTGCCACTGACCATGCTTCTGCCTCCTGGGGGCTGACAGTCCCTCTGGGACCCCAGGTGGCAGCCCATTCGCCTCACTGCCCCCAGCCCCCTGCACAGCACCTGAATACGGAAGGTGGAACTGGAGGATCCAAATGCACCCAGTGTTCCGTGCGTGCTCAGACCACCTGCATCGCATCCTATTTGCACCTGGAGGGAGTGATGTCACCGAGATGGTGACAGAGGTCCTTGCTGACGTCACTCCCCTTCCCAAAAAGGACAGCCAACAAGTATTTGTGAGCAAAACACCGAGAGACTCCGGGAACAGGTAGGTGAGGCTGAAGCATGCCCTGTACCGCAGAGACCAACACAGGCCACGTGGGATGGACACAGGCAGCAGCCACACCCTGACTCCCCCCCGTCCCCTTCCTGAGCCAGCGTGCCACCACCCAGAGGGCTCCCTCAAGTCCCTTCTGGGGGCCCTCACTCTGATCTCACTCCACAGGGACCGTAAGCAAATCTCCAGCTCTGAGAGGGGTGGGGGCGACCTGTGGCCCCCAGTACGGATCTAGGGACACGCAGGTCACACCCGCAGGGCCCATGTTGCAACCCCAACAGTGGCTTCGATCGCAGGCAGCCCCAAGTCGGTGACGCATTCTCACCGGGGAACTCGGTGCAGAATCGGCTTGGCTTGATGTGGATCCTCAAACAAGGGATTCTACTGGCCTTACAGCCTGGCTCACTGGCACCCAGGGAGGAAATGGAGTCCTAGTGCCACCTGCTGTGCAGAGAGAGCAGGAAGGGAGACCCAGCAACACTCCCCTCCCAGCACAGAGGCAGGTGGGTAGGCTAATCCCCTCCCCCCGGGGCAAAGCCAGTGTCCAATGTGGAGGGTCTCCCTGCTTCGCACAGGCAAGGGGATCCATCCACAGCCAAGCCCAAGGGCGGCTCCCAGCCCCTCCCCGTGGAGAGGGTGTTTGGGAAACAGAGCCACTCCAGCCACCCCACCTGTTGCGCTCTCAGCCCCATCTGACCAGAAGTGCTGGGGAAGCACAGCCGGAAGCACTGCGGGGGAGCTCCTGCCGGCACCAGGGCAAAGCCAACAGAGCAAAGCTTGTGCACTTGCTCAGCCAGGGCACCAGGGGCAGGGGTCGGCCTGAGATAAGACCACAAGGAATGCATTGTGCTGGCGTTAGAGCTGCTTCTCCTGCCGCACGGGGCAGGGAAGCCAATTCGTAGCCCTGCTCACTGTGGGACACCGCGTCCAGCCTGCCCGGCCAGGAGACCTCACCGGAGCACACGGGACCCCGCGCAGCCCACCCAACAGCCCAGCTTGCGGTCACGCCTGAACAGAGAGCACAGCCTGTGGCTTTCTCCGTCTTCGAGGCACAGCTGGTGACCTCCCCTGACCGGGGAACCCTGCGAAGAAGAACAAAGTGAGAAGCGTCACACTTGCTGATTTCACGCGGACTGTAAAGCTACAGTAGTCAAACCAATATGGTACCGGCGTAAAAACGGACCAGTGGAACAGAGCTGAGAGCCCAGAAATGAGCCCAGGTGTAGAGAGTCAGCTAATCTTCGACAAGGGAGCCAAGAATGCTCTACGGAGAGAAGACAGTCTCTTCAATAAATGGCCCTGGGGGATGGGGCGCCTGGGTGGCTTAGTCGGTTAAGCGTCTGACTTTCACTTAGGTCATGATCTCGCAGTTCGTGGGTTCGAGCCCCGCGTCGGGCTCTGTGCTGACTGCCAGCTCAGAGCCTGGGGCCTGTTTCGGATTCTGTGTCTCCCTCTCTCTCTGACCCTCCCCTGCTCATGCTGTCTCTCTCTCTCTCCTAGAAATAAATAAAAAAATATTTAAAAAATAAAAAATAAAAAAAATAAATGGCCCTGGGGTAACTGGATGGTCGCATGGAAAAAGGTGCGACTAGACCCCTACCTCACACCACTCACACATTTCACGTTGAAATGGATCAACGACTTAAATATAAGACCTGAAACCATGAAACTTCCAGAAGGAAACAGACTCAGAGCTCTCTGAGGTGGGTCTTGGTCACGGTCTCTTGGAGAGGACACACGCTGAAGCAACTAACGCAAAAATAACCACGGGGGCTACACTCAGTGAAAAGGCTTCTGTGCAGCAAAGGGAAGCATCAACAAAGCGGAGAGACCCCCTGTGGGATGGGAGAAACTATGTGCAGACCATACCTTCGATCAGGGGTTAATCTCCAAAATACATAAAGAACTCCTACGACTCAATAGCAGAAAAACAGGGGCGCCTGCGTGGCTCAGTCGGGTAAGCGTCTGACTTTGGCTCAGGTCATGATCTCATAGTCTGTGAGTTTGGGCCCTGTGTCAGGCTCTGTGCTGACAGCTCGGAGCCTGGAGCCTGCTTCCAATTCTGT